GCTGATAAGTATATCTCTCCAACAGAATACTATGCCTACATATTGCAAATGAGGCCTTTAAATATGCTCCTTAGAAGTGGAAGATGTTCTCAGCAATTTGTTTTGGACATGTATGTGAAGATCGAAAATTCAAGACTCGATTATTTGCGGAACAATTAAGAAATCATTACACCTTATCTTTATCAGGGTATCCTTGATAGTGTGACACGTGGAGAGGCAGATGCTTCGAAGATTGGATATCTTGTTGTTTTACCTGCGTCGTTCATTGGGTGTCCTAGGGTTCTAAAACGTCGTTATCTAAATGTAATGGTATTAGTTCAAAGATATGGGAAACCGGATTTGTTTATTACTATGACATGTAATGCAAATTGGGCCAAAATAAAGTTTGAATTATAACCTGGAGAGAAAGCTCAGGATAGGCCAGATATAGTGGCACGTATATTTCTATGAACAATAACGCATTTCAAATTTCCTATTTTGAACAGTGCCAATTTTGATCAGTATCATTTTGAACAGTACAACATTTGCTTCAGCATTTGTTTCTCGGATTTGTACTTCTATATTACATTCGGGCTTTTTCCGAAACATTATCTTTTTATATCTAGGCAGCTTCTTTTGGTTTTCCCTTAGGTTCTTTTCATTTCCTGTTTCTGTCTCTTACGATTGTGTTTTTCCGTTGTTCAATTTCCTCATTCTATATATAACTGCCTTCTCTTTCTATAATTTTGATTTATTTTTCCAAATTTGTGTTTCCGTTCTTTTATTCCGTTTGCTATTGGAATTATATAAAGGTTTGTGTTTTGGTTTTTTTTTTTTGGGTGTTGTAATTTGGATTTCATTGTTGTGTATATTTGTTAGTGTTTGTTCGAAATTTCTGGGATTGGAGGTTTCGGTGATTTTTTGTTCTTTCCGTTCAGTTGGATTGAATTTGTTTATCTATTTGTATTGTTCATGGTCTTTGCGTTTGCATTGTTTTTGTTTGTTTGACATTGGGGTTTATTACTTTGTTTTTATGTTCTTCCTATTTCCTGTTTCTCTGTATTTGTTTACTTTGTTCGGCAAATAGTATTTTTTTTGGTTTGTGTTATGATTTAAATCGATTATCATTTAGATTGGTGTATTATGTTGTGTTAATTTATATTTGTGTTTTGGTCTTTTATATTTTTGTTTGTTTTTGTTCGGTTATGTGGAATTATAGGTATCGATGCTTTTGTTTTGTTGTATGCAGATGAAAATTTGGGTTATGTGTGTTGTGTTTTGTTTTCAATTCTTTTGTTTAGTTCTGATAACACAATTGTTTTATTCACTATTAAAAATGTCAACCCATCAAATCATAACATAATCTTAACAGTTTATAACTTGATCAAATTTTTCTTGGCGTCCGCGTTGTGTAGATGGTAAGAAAAATGAAATATAGAGTTGTTATTAATCCACGGCAGTTGTAGATGTGTGGTTTGGATAAGTAGTTGATGTCGGGGGTTTGCAGCTGTGTTTTTGTAGTGGTTTTTGTACATTTACAAATTGTTTCTGCAACACCATTGAAGCGACCGCAAATCCAAACACCGCAAGCAAAATCGCACCAAAGAAAAAACATTAACGATTAACAAATATTACAACAAATTGAAGCAAAACTGAAAATTAGACTATTAGAGGCAAATTATGTATTCACTGGGAGATATTGAAGATATCATTTCAAATTTACCGATGACTGTTGGAATTAGGCAGCCGTTAATGCGAAAAGGAATAAAAAAGCAAAAGGTTTAGCTAAATCTGGGGAGACGATGATCGAGAGATGGCTAAGAAGAAGAGACGGAAAGGAAGGGTAGAAGAAATCAGCAGATAAGTTCGGCTGGGTGCCGAAGAAAGGAGGATAACAACAAAGGAAAGGGGAAAGGCATAATACACTATTGTTCATAATTGGCTATTGATTTCGCTGTTGTTCATAATTGGCAATTGATTTCGCTGCTGTTCACAATGGGAGTACCGGTGAATTTTTCTCTTAACTCTTAAAAAGAGAGGATTCCAATGGTAGTCTCATTTCGGCTGGGTGCCGAAGAAAGGATGGTAACGAAAAAGGAAAAGGGAAAAGCACAATACACTACTGTTCATAATTGGCTATTCATTTCAACGGTAGACTCTTATTGACAGTATTGAACAGTGCCAATTTTGAACAGTAGCAATTTGAATAATACAACATTTCCTTCAGCATTTGTTTTTTGGATTTGTTCATGCATATTACATTCGGGCTCTTGCCGAAACATTTTTTATCTATATATAGGCGGCCTTTTTTTTTCCCTTAGGTTGTTTTCATTTCCTGTTTCTCTCTCTTCCGATTTTGTTTTTTCCGTTAATCTATTTCCTCATTCTATATATAATTGCTTTCTCTTTCTGTAATTTTTATTTATTTTTCCAAATTTGTGTTTTCGTTCTTCTATTCTGTTTGCTGTTGGAGTTATACACAGGTTTGTGTTGTGGTTTTTTTTTTTTTTTTGGTATTGCAATTTGGATTTCATTGGTGTGTATATTTGTTAGTGTTTGTTTGAATTTTAGAACTTGATCAATTTTTTTTTAGTGGCCATGTTGTGCAGATGGTAAGAAAAATGAAATATAGAGTTGTTGTTAATCCACGGCAATTGTAGATGTTTGGTTTGGATAAGTAGTTGATGTCGGTGTTTTGCAGTTGTGTTTTTGTAGTGGTTTTTGTACATTTAGAAGTTATTACCTGTATTTACGGATTAGGTTATTTTTTGTACAGCTTTTTGTTACTAATTATGGGTTTTCTTGTTTTATTACGTGTTTTTAACCTGTATAGATTATCGGAGTTTTATCTGATATCATGTTTATACATTCTTTATCATTCTTCTTTACCTGTTGGTGTGGTTATGTTGAAGTACGAATACAGGAAATATGCCTATATTTATAATCTGATCGCATTTTTTTTGGCTAAAATGTTGTGTAGATGGTGAGAAAAAAAAAAACCTACAGCTGTTGTTAGTCCAGGGCAGTTTCCTGAAAGTGAGTTTGCTCGATCGTCGACAGAGCAGAGTCGAGATGTAACACCTGGCATTTCAGCGACAGGGATAGCTGTTGACTTGGGTGAATATCCTTTGAAGGACTTATTTATGCTTAAGGGGTTAAGGCGGGAACAAAATACGAATGGAAAAGATCAATCAAATGTTGGTGTTTCTACCACACCTGGTGGGGATAGTGTTGCGTTACTTGTGCAAGAGCAACCAAGAATTATAACAGATGCTGAAAATTTAAATGAAGAGTTTACTCAAACTCATTTGGCAAATTTGCTGCCTGTGCGAATTGTGGGACATAGGGGATCTAAAAAAAGGGATAGGCCTATTGTTCACTTAGGTCAAATTTCATCCGACGAGTTATCCATTCAGCCGAAAAAAAAAACAACGGCTTGTAGGAACGGGTGGTTTCGGTAGTGGGGCCATTTTAGATTCGCTCAATGTTCGTCAGCAAGGGGAAGGAACTAAATGTAACGTTGTTCAAATTTCGGGAGATAATGTTTCCGCTAAAGGCCAAATGGAAGTTGATGTCTTGGCTGCATGTTCTGAGAATTATGTTGCGATGGGTATGGAAGAACAGATGAACCTTGCTGTGGGAGCCGAAAATATGATTATACAAAAAGCACCTACAAAAAGGAAGATTAGGCCTATTGTCGATTTAGGAGAACATTCGTCAGAAACGGTGATGTCGTTGCCGACGGATTCCCCGTCAACCAGTCGACCAGTTGGAGGCGAGGGTAGGCGAATCCCAGTTTCTTTCGATGGTCGTAAGGATGGGGAAGAAACTATATGTAATGCTCTTCAAGTTCCGGCAGATGTCGTCACAAAAAAAGGTCAACCGGGTGTTGATGTATTGGTTGCGTCTACCGAGGAAAACGGTGTGTTGGTTATGGACGACAATCCGATAAATGTTTGCCACGTGGATACATATGCTGAAAGCTTGCGACCAGCACATGGACACCTGTTTGCTGATTATTTTGAGGTGCCTATTCAAGATTGTGAAGAAGTGTAAGTCTTCGTGTTTGTCGTCAACATTGTGGATATACTTTGATCCAGACTATGATTATGGTATTTATTTGTATTTATTGATGTTTTTATTCTTTTAAAGAAAAAAATCCAGGAGTAGTTGGAAGTCGTGTAATGCAGGTAATATTGTTTAACATTGTGTGAAAGCATTATTTCGGATAGTGAGTATTATAAACGTTTTCATATGATCTATGATGTATGGAATTTATATCGCGTTTTTTTGTTTTGTTTTCCTTTTTCGAACAGAAAATTTTTCGGCATTGCCGTATTCCGACGCGATATGGCATACTGTGCCAGTTGAAGTTTGTGAGACGTTGTAAGTTTTTGATGTTCTTCTCCTTTATGTGGTATATTATTTGAAATTAATATATATTATGGTTTTTTTGTAGACATGGATCCAAAAAATGGAAAGAACGCGATATTAATTTTTCTTTATCTGCCAACGAACGGAAAAAAAGTGAACAACGTAAGAGCAAAAGATCTCTGTTTTTTGCACAGTCTGCGTCTGCCAAAAATCCCGGTTTAGAAGGTATTGTTACGGATTTTTTTATAATATAAGAATAAACTATTGTATGTGATATTTGGAATGAATCTAAATGTATTTGGTTTTTTTTTTCAAAAACGTTTTCCCATGTTTCGGCAGTGAGACCACTTGCAATCATTGGTGAAAACCTTCCAGTTGGCCCTCTTGTGCTTGAGAGTGCTTCGTGTTGTTTGTATTGTAATGCCAAGAAATTCATGTATGAAACTCCGAGTTCCTGCTGTTGTGGCGGACAGGTTGTGGTTGCAGCTAATCAATTTCCTGATGAGTTATGCCGATTATATTTATCAGAGGAGGAAGACGCTAAACATTTCAAGTAATACAGCCGAATGTATAACAATCTCTTTGCTTATAGTTCTATACACGGTAAAACGGAGTCGACGACATATAAGGGGATATATTTATTTAAAATGCATGGGCAAGTATATCATTCCGTACCAGATCTTCTGCCTGATGATGGTAGCCCTAAATTTTTGCAGCTCTATTTTTATGATGGCCAGCACGAAGTTCAGAATCGAGTGAATTGTTTTCCTGAGGTACGGGAGGATATTATTCGTATATTAATGAAGATTACTGAAATGAATTCATATGCAAGATTTTTTAGATCGTTGAGGGAAATAGAGATAGATGAAAACACGCAGATAGTATTATCTCAAAATCCTGTTTTGGATCAACGTGTTTATAACGCACCTGTTTCTGATGAAGTTGCTGCAGTATGGCCAGATGGTGCGTCTTCAAGTCAGATTAGCACTCCACATATTATTGTGCATGGAAAGTCTGCCCAAACTCATCGGATTTGTCATTATTATGGGTGCTATGATCCATTACAATACCCGTTGTTATTCCCTTTTGGTGAATGTGGATGGACTCAGAATCTTAAGAAGCGAAATGTTGGTGGGAAAAATCATACACAACAGGTTCCAGATCATATTCATTCCTGTACAGTTCATACCGTGCAGAATTTCTTAGACAAAGAAGAATCACGTAGGTGTTTGTTATTTATGCATATTAGTTCGTATTTGTTTTAAACTATTTATTATGCTGGGCAATTTAATGTGTTTTCTTATTTATTTTTGGCACAATATAGGGACCGTTAAACATAGGACAAGAGCTGATAAGTATATCTCTCCAAGAGAATACTATGCTTACATATTACAAATGAGGCCTTCGAACATGCTCCTTAGAAGTGGAAGATGTTTTCAACAATTTGTTGTGGACATGTATGTGAAGATCAAAAATTCAAGACTCGATTATTTGCGGAACAATCAAGATATCATTAGAGCTGATCTTTATCAGGGTATTCTTGATAGTGTGACAGATGGAGAGACATATGCTTCAAAGATTGGACATCTTATTGTTTTACCTCCGTCATTCATTGGATGTCCTAGAGATCTAAAACGTCGGTATCTAAATGCAATGGCATTAGTTCAAAGATATGGGAAACCGGATTTGTTTATTACTATGACATGTAATGCAAATTGGCCCGAAATAAAGTGTGAATTACAACCTAGAGAGAAAGCTCAGGATAGACTAGATATAGTGGCCCGTATATTTCGTGCAAAATTGTTGGCATTAAAAAAACAAATTAAAAAAGAAAGAATTTTTGGTGAAGTGGCAGCAATGATCTATGTTGTTGAGTTTCAAAAAAGAGGATTACCACATGCACATTTTTTAATAATACTGAAATGTGATTTCAAGATAAGAGGGCCATCTGAGTATGATAAGTTTGTTTGTGCTGAAATCCCATCATTTGATAATCCTCGTCTTCTTAAAGTTGTCTTGACTCATATGATGCATGGGCCTTGTGGGAAGCTGAATCCTAAGTGTCCTTGTATGAGAATGGATGGGAAAAAAATGGTCTGCAAAAATGGATATCCAAAAGATTACAATTCAGAGACAGCAAACAACAAAGATGGGTATCCTGTATATAGGAGAAGACCAACAGGTGAAAAAGTAAAGGTTCGAAGGGCTGAGTTAAATAATCAGTGGGTAGTACCCTATAATCCATATTTATTACTTATGTTTGATTGTCATATAAATGTTGAGGTTTGTTCAACTATCAAAGCTGTGAAATATTTATATAAATATGTTTATAAAGGGCATGATCGAATATCATTTAAGATATCTGCTACAAATGAAAAAAAATTGATGAATTAGATCAATTTCAATCTGGCAGGTTGGTAATGAGTGCTTTATTTACATATTTAGTTTACATTTCTTTATATTATGATATTATGATTACAAATATTACATTTGAATTCTGTGGTTTGAAATTGTAGGTGGGTATCTCCATGTGAGGGAATATGGCGAATATTTGGTTTTGATTTATTTGAAATTTTTCCTCCTGTTATGCCATTACCAGTGCATCTTCCAAACATGCAATCCATTGCTGTAAGACCATTTGAAAATCTCAGACGGGTTGTTAGAGATCCTAAGCGCGCACGTACACCTTTAACGGAGTACTTTGCAGTGAATGCGACAGTTGATGGTGGTGTTAACCTTTTATACAGTGATTTTCCAGAACACTACACATGGAATTCAAATGTGAAAGAATGGAAAGACCGAAAAAATGCACTCACTGTTGTTGGTAGAATATCGTTTGTCTTGCCTGCCGAAGGTGAACGTTATTATCTTCGACTATTGTTGCTTAATGTACGAAATTCAACTTCGTTTACAGACTTACGTATAGTTGACAATTATGTCTGTGCTACATTTCAAGAAACTGCTAAACGGCTAGGCATTTTGGAGGATGATGATGCTGCATCTATTTGTCTAACGAAAGCTGTAGAGATACAGTTACTGTGTGCTTTGAGACGGCTGTTTGCAACAATACTGATATTTTTCCAGCCCAGTGATCCAGCTTCTTTATCGGAAAAGTATTATGCGTCATTGTCGGAAGATTATAGGTACCAGTTTAAAGATTGTCCCGGAAAAGTTAAACAACTAACTGTTAGTTTATTAGAGCAACATCTTGAATCAATGGGTAAATCACTGAAAACATTTGGGCTGGATCATCTGGGCTATAATGTCAGTGTCGAGTTCAGGAAAACGAGAGACATAACAGATGCTTTGAATACACCTATTCCTGAAGAATATATAAACTCAAGATCACGGTTGAATGCAGCTCAACTGAATGCATTTGATGTCATAATGAATCACGTCAAGGAGGGAAAAGGAGGTGCTTTCTTCATTGATGGACCAGGCGGCACGGGTAAGACTTTTTTATACAATTGTTTATATGGAGAAATTCGAATGATGAATAAAATTGTACTGCCCACTGCGTCATCTGGAATAGCCGCATCAAATCTACCTTCAGGCAGAACAGCTCATTCAAGATTTAAAATACCTGTTGATAATGAGAGTTGTTTTACGTGTGATGCGCCAAAACAAGGTAGTTTAGCACAATTATTAAAAGAGACAACTTTGATTATCTGGGATGAGGCTTCTATGGAGAATAAGGCAAATTTACAGGCACTTGATTTGCTGTTGCAAGATATATGTGAAAATACGACACTTTTTGGTGGCAAACTTATCATTTTCGGTGGAGATTTTAGGCAGGTTTTACCGGTTGTACCCCAAAAGTCCTTAAGACAGGCTGTTGAATCGAGCATTGTCGCTTCATATATCTGGCCATCTTTGAAAAGATTTAAGTTAACGAAAAATCAGAGATCTCGTGAAGATCCAACATTTTGTGCGTTTTTGTTATCTCTTGGTAATGGTGAATTACAAACAAATGAGTGTGGATATGTAGAGCTTCCTAATGGAATGGTACATCATTTGGAGATTGAAAGGGACCCCATTTTGGAGATTACAAAAGCTACTTTCCCAGAAGTTGAGAAAGGAACGATTACATCAGACATCTTTGCAGTAGAGCAATTTTAACTCCGATGAATGATGATGTGGATATGGTCAATTCAGTTTTAATTGAACAGTTTCCAGGAAATAAGGTGATTTATAAGAGTTTTGATGCAATGCTCAATGATACTTGCAATATCTATATATCAGAGTTTGTAAATAAGCTTTATCCAGGAGGAATGAGTCCCCATGAGCTTGTGCTTAAAAAAGACTGCCCTGTGATTTTGTTACGTAATATAATGCCTTCGGATGGTCTCTATAATGGGACGAGATTGATTTGCAAGATTTTTCAGCCCAACGTTATCGTCTGTGAAATTTTTGTTGGTCAATATAAAGGGAAAACTGTTTTTTTGCATCGAGCAACTTTACGACCTCCAATAAATAGCAGATATCCATTCACTTTTGAAAGGAAACAGTTCCCAATTAAAATATGTTTTGCTATGACGATTAATAAGTCACAAGGACAAACACTGAGTCAGGTTTCAGTCTATCTTCCTCGACCGTGTTTTTCACATGGTCAACTGTATGTGGCTTTATCTCGGGCAACAAAGGCTAAAAATGTTGTTGTTTATACAATGAAACCGCCAGATGGGTATCACGTCAACTCGGTTAGAAATGTAGTGTCCTTTGACATTTTGAAGTATTCAAAAGTTGTTTAACATCAAACATGCTTGTTGTTGTATAATGGCATTTTTACAGGTGTTGTAATCTTTTTTCTTAAAAAAATACTATACTAATTATAACAAACGTTAATGTGTTCTAAAAAACAGTATAATTACAAATATTGCTATAAAGTTGTATTTCTTTTCAGAATGGTCAATAAGTTATGTTCCATTTAAAGCATTCGTTATGTTAAGATCATCCGTATTTATTTAACAAAATTAATGTTGTAGATGTTATATACTTTGATTCGGGAATTATGTAGATTTATCACATATGAATTTGTGAAAAGATATTTATTCACCGTATATATTAAACTTCTTTTTTTTTAAAAAAATTAGTTAGTGATCAACGTATTATTGTTGCAATTAACATATATTACAGTTAATTGGAAGTTTAATAAATAGATTGGGATGTTTTGTCGGTAGTTGGTTTTTTATGAATGTGTTTACTAATAGTTTAATTAGGAATTTTGATGGTTATGTTAATTTCTATTAAACTTCCATATTTAAAAGCCTTTTGCTACAAATATCAAGTTTATATATATTGTGATAAATAATAAATTAAATCCTTTAATAAAGTTGTATTTTATTACAAGAGTTTATTACTGTTTTCATTTTGGAGGATATATATACTAATAGCAATTTTGTGTTTGTTTAGCATAATCTACAGTACAGATATTATGTGTTATTATTTTACAATTTAAGAAATTGCATATAAGTGGATCTGGGGACAGGTATTTGTATTCTGAAAGATATTTTAATTTGTATTAATTATTCTTACAAATTGTTTATTAATCAAAATATTATTTGTATAATTAGCAAGTACTTTGTACTGTAAATGATTGCATTTTGAAATTGGTGAAATTTGCATAATTTAAACGGTTATTATAACTACCATTATTTAGTGTAATTAAATAGTTGCGACGTTTTGTCGGTAGTTAGACTTTAAAGAATTTAGTTTAATAATAGTTTAATGGGAAATGTGACGATTCACTTAACTATTAACCTTCTCTATATTTAAATTCAAAAGTTTATAGGTATATATTCTCTCCGTTATTCATTAATCAATTTCCTACAAACCGAACCCTAGAAATACCGATTTTTTTTTGCCACAGTTAATTTGCATCCCAAATATCTATTAATCTCATTTGTACTTCAAAATCTGACATGACGACGTACAAGCCCGCTGATTTTCGTCTTAGGGACAGGTAATTATTTCTGATTTCATTTGGATGTATTTCATTTTTTTAATTTCCATTGTCGTACGATTGTTCTTCATTATTATGGTTAGACGTCGGAATTTGGGTAAAGCGCTTGTTGTTGGTGGAGGAGAAGAAGTTGAAAGGCGACAAGTTGTGTCCACAGGTCCTCGGCGTAGACAACCGCTCGGACATATGCCACCTCTTAGTCACGCTACTACTCTTTCTAATATGGAGGAAAGAGAACCTACGATCAATGTTCCGATACCGGCTGTACCATTAGCTTCTGCTAGACCATTTTCATATGTGACATTCAGGGAGTGGGAAGAGCCTACTTCGTCTGACAGCAGTGCTGTTCATGGGCCTCGCTGTCTGCCAGAAGGTGCAGAAGAATGGTACAATCCAATTGAAAATTTGGGCCTTAAAACTGCTGCTCTGTACGGATGGTGGGTTATACAAAATGCCCGATATCGTTTCGCTGAGCAAATTGAAATTTTCTATGGTATTTATGAACAGGACGGATACTGGTGTCGGATTCCAGTTATTAAAGATAGAATTCACAGACCGCCGCCTGGGTATATTGGAGTATATACTAGGCAGTTACAATCAGGTTGAGGTTTCCTCTTCATCCTTTTGTAACCAAAGTGTTGAATGGGTATAACATTGCGTTGTGTCAGTTGACTCCGGCCAGTATTCGAAGAGTTATGACATTCTTATGGGTTTCCCTTTTTTTAGGGTTTGACCCCAGTGAACACGTTTTCCGGCAATTGCATGCTCTAGTACCCAGACAGTCTTCCGAACCAAATGGTCTTGGATGGTGGCGAATTGAAGCAAAACGAGGTTATTTAACTACTTGGCCTCACGACACTTCGGATAAAGATTGGAGGGGTCAATGGATTTGGATCAGGGCTCCATCCGAAGAGGAACATTTAAACTACTTCGGAGCGCCGAGATACTTGAGGATGCCCGATCCGAAAATGTCTGCTATCGGTCCTGATGAATTTTCTGCTGAATATAATCAACTTATGAAGCTCTTCGGAAAGGTGGCTACAGGAAGAGCGGGACGAGAGAAACATACTCCAGCCACTTGGCTTCCTTGTTATCACTATATTTTCCAGGAGAGGATATTAGCTGCCGTCGGCCTCAGCCGAAAGTACCAAGGGGGTAAGATTCTTGGTTGGGGCCGAAGGCTCGTTTCTTTTTTTTTTTCACTGTTGATGTTATTGTTGTCTGTTTTGTTTTTTTTTTAAACCGTTCCGTTTTTGTTTTTTTTTTTCAGTGTTGCATGAGTCGAATTGCGGGTTGAATTATGAACGTCTTGGAATTAACATCAGAAGGAAAGTGACCAAAAGAGACCCTGCGATTACTCCTACTTCTGAAAGAGCTCCTGCACTGCGTGCAAATTATCTTGAGATAGTCAGTTCTTCTGAATATTCCAAGCATAAGCCGTGGTACTTGAAACGTGATCCATTATTTCGTTTGGGTCCTGAAGAGGAAATTCTAGCCACTGCTGCTGCTATAGAAGCCGGTCTTTCCGAGTCTACTCCTGACACTGAAGACAACCAAAGTTCTGAGGACGAATTGTTGGATAATTTGGTGAGTATAGGTTTGATCTTTACTTTGTTTTGCTTAAACGTTTTTCAGAGTATGAAATGTTAATGCATATATTTTCTATAGTATGTTGTGTACATTTTAATTTCCAGTTTCTTACCACATGTTGCATGAAACTTTATTCATTGAGTAGAATATTGTTTAGAACACTGTTTCAAGTACTGTTTTTGTTACTGAATGTTATGCTGCTGAAAAGTTCAATAAATACTAAATTGTGTTAGGCTTTTTGTTACGAATTAGTTGATTTGCGTAATTTTAATATATTTCTTGTTTCAGTGTAACATTCCAGTGCTCTCTGTTCTGCATATATACATGCAGTAATACGTATGGAATGTAATTGTGTTTAGTACACTCTGTTTTACATATAATTCGGCTACAATATGCATTCCACGGGAATTACTACTAATTTATAAAGACTGCATTACTTATAGTGTTTCGCAACATATTGTTTGTTAACTGTTAAACATATTCGTACTTAATCAGCTATAGAATTTCTGTTGCTTTTCTGTAAAGAATTGCTTGGTTTGCTTATGGAATTTCAATATATGAGTTCTGCATTTTTAAATAGTATTGTTGTTTATGTATTTGTAGTTTATTTCCAATAACTGGAATTGTGCTGATAACTTATTTCTGCAGCCTCTTACCCTTCTGTTGCGGAGGAAGGAAACAAGAGTAACAGCCCAACCGAAAGAGCCTTTATTGGATACCTCTTCATCAGATCAAGAAATACAAAATATGGGTAGAAAAAGAAAGTCTAGGGCTGTTTTCAACCCAGCCCAGTTCCCTTTAGAATTTATGGCTCCGTCATCGAGAAAAACAAAGGCAAACGATGGTCCAGGAGAAATGTCTAAGGAGATAGATCCTGAACCTTTGACCTCTGCAAGACAAATTGACAACATTCAGCAGGAAACTCTTTCTACCTCTACAACAAATTGAAAACATTCAGCAAGAAACTCTTTCTACCCCTGCAAGACAAATTGAAAACGTTGAACAGGAAACTCTTTCTGGAGCGCCTCATCTTTCTGAATTCACGGTAAACCCTTTTGCTGAAGAAAGTCAAAGACAGGCTAATGTCTTCATTACACACATTGAACATACTGATATGACAGTTGGAGGAGAAGAGTATTTACATTTCAAGGAAATGGATGAACATATTCATGAGCCTCGACAAGTAGATGTGCCATCGGCTTCTGGTGTAAATTCTTTCAGAACTTTTCGGTCAAATGATATGGGGTATGAGTTTACCTCAATTGTGGTACTTCCCGATGTTGTGCGGGAAAATTTGATGGAAAACCAGAGTGCTGCTGCTGGGATTTTTGGGGACTTATCTGGCTTCTCCGAAGTGGAGAAAGCTAAATTCTGTTTAACACAAACTGCTGCTGGAGCATGTAAAACTTTTGTGAGAGTACCGGACCCCGTTGCAGAGAACTTCAAATTACTGTTGCAGGTACTATTTCCAGACAAATTTTGCTTTAAGTGTTTTTCTGATTCTATCATTTTAACTATTTGTATTTACAAAATGTAATTTTTCTTCAATTATTTGTTTTAATTGTTT